GTCATCACCCATAGCAACATGTGTTTGACCAAGTACTCGCTTCCCTCGTACACAACGTCCAGTGAAGCCATGGCGAGCTAACGGAGAATCAACAAGATCATCAACCATTATAGAGAATCGTACTGAATGATTGAAAACCAGTCTGAAAGCATCGTACTTTTTCACCCTTTGAAATTGTCAAAACCCAATACGTAACAACTCTTTAGTCACCCCAGGGATAGAAAGCTTTCGAAGACGGCGGAGAGTCACATGTGCAAATTAGTGGTCGACCCACTAGGTGATCATCGCAACGGAAACCTTCCATCGTAATTGTGCATGACGAAACTTGATAGCTACCGAGAGAACAGAACGCAACCCTCATTGAATAGACCATGAAAGACTTGAAGTGAGACCATCATAGCACGATGAATGTTTACTAATCAATAGCAGGTCATCAAATACCTTGCTGCTCTCATTAGCAAAAAAAGTGTGTGCTCCTTATGGTAACGTCGTTCCCCCTGTCTAGTCGACCTCGAGGACCTTCATCAGATTACTAGATCCGCTCACCTCCTCCTTTACACCATGCACAGCGACTATCTTATCACCAATCGAACATAGGCCCATCTGCTTAGCGTGATCAAGGGCATTCCTTATGACATGATCAGTGCCTTGAAAAGACGGCACTTGTAAGGCTACTATCCCTCTATATAGCTGCAAATGCTTGACGGTAGACTCAGATGCAGACAGGGCCAGTATTGGTGGATACGGACGATACTTCGCCAACAACTTTGCCGTAGACCCCTAAAGGACATTCATCGTAATAATCAATTTCTAGCATTACCGTCTCAGTTAGTGCAACGATGAGCTTAGCGTTGCATTCAATACAAGCCTTCACTGCAGATGAACATACAGCTTCTGGTATGGCCAATCCCTGAGTGCTACAATAACAAGAACAATTACCACAGCCTACCCCTTGGCTTTGATTCATAACAGTCTCACGTATTCTCTGGAACAAAGTCTCGTAGTCAATACAGGTCTCAGCCTCCTCGCAGATCCTTCTCATAATAGTCACAGCTTGTATAGGGAATGCCCCTCCTGCCGACTCCCCAGATAGCATCACAGCATCAGTTCCATCCAACACGGCATTGGCGACATCACTAGCCTCAGCACGAGT